CTGGGCTGCTGCACCGACCCCGGGCTCGGGCTCAGGCAGGGATTGCCCCCTGCTCAGACTGGTGCGCACTGCGGGGTTCCCCGTCCTCTGCAGCGGGGGGCACAGCCTGGACCTGGGGGTCTCTGCAGCCCCAGCCCAGCCGCCCCCCAGCTCCAGGACCCTGTGACTGCGAAGTACAGCTGCCCGGCTGCGACGTGGTCCTGAGCGCTGCATCGGGGCACGGGCCGATCCAGGTGTGCCCCACGGTGCAAGGGCTCCATCGGGGGTGCAGGAGCGTGGTGCAGGGCCCAATCCTGGCATGGGGGCAGATCTGGCTGCAGACCGGCCCCATGCCACTCCTCCGGCCCGCGGGGCCAAAAGCACACGCCTCGCTGCTGTAGCCCAGATGCTGCTGAGAGCCTCAGCCGGGGCCAGGAGTGTGGGATGCCGCACCTGGATTGCGGAGCAATCCTCCAGCCAGCCGTGCTTCCATCAGGCTTCGAGCCCCTTCCCCGGCACGGGAACTCTGCTTGCAAAATACGGCTGGATCCGGCCCACCCGGCCATTGTATCCCTCCCAAAAACGCTGGCTCCAAAAAGGGCTGTGCCAGCACGTGGGACTAGTGGCACTGCAGGTGGGAGCCACGTGTCATCAGGCCAGGCCACGTGAGGCTTGCAATGCCTCCAGCCCCACGTGGCGGCACAGAGCCAGCCCGGTGTGGTGCGAAGGCACGTGCCAGCGGGTCGGGGGCCTCTGCCTGCTGCGGCCATGAGCACCCCGAGGACCTGGGCCTGCTGCTGCTGCCGCTGGGGGCTTGTGGTGGGGGGACCCACGCTTACCCACACCTACCCACACACACTCCCGTACCCACCCTGCACAAACCCCCCACCTCCCATTCCTGTGCGCACACACCCCCACACCTCATCACACCCCACACTAACCCCACACACCCACACTCTCCCAACCCCGCCACAAATCCCCCACACCCAACCCCCAAGCACCCCCCCACACACACACAATAGACAAGAATAAGACTTTATTTGGAACTATGATGTAATCCCCTCTACATACATGACACAAACATGCAAATCAGGACAACATTTTTTGGAAATTAAGTTAAAATATGTATAGCAAATGTTTGATTTTTAGTATAGGATTTGTTCTTTTCCCGGTTCCAAGATGTCAAACCCCCTTCATCCCAAAAGGAGTACTTCTGAGGCCAAGGGGAGGACCTTCCCACAGCAGCATCCACTATGCATATTTTAATTTTATTTCAAAAAATATTGTGTCCTGATTTATGTGTGTTTGGGGTTAGGGGGCAGAGCAGGCCAAGAACAAAGAACCACTTTTGGGGGAAATGTGTGGCTGCAGCTCAAAGTGACAACAGCTGTTTTGCCCAATGAGACCCCCCC